TCGTTTCTTTATTACAACAGGGTTGGGCAAGAATCGCGCCTGCAGCTGTTTAGTGACCTCAGCAACGATATTATTGTGATCCAGTACCCGCCTAGACTTCATGATCCTCACAATTGCTGCCTCAATCTGGGGCTTCCTGTCTTCCTCTACTCTCTGCCTGGTTTCTTGATTTTCTGGTTCAGACTCCCTTTGCGCAACCACAGTACCTATCTTTACCTTGAAGAACTTGCTTGTGAACTTGTCATTAAAGAAGAAGGCATCGTCCTCAGCTATGTCCTTGCTCATTGGCTCCTTCCGAAGAACATTCTTCCCTTTAACACAGGCCAAAGATTGCAGACACCTCTTCAAGTCAGAGGCTGGTATCTCCGTAGCCTGTTCAATTTCCCTATAGGTCAACCGGTCAGTGTTGTTGAATAGCATGAGCACGCACATCTGGTATGTGGAAACATTCAGCTCATGCTTCTGGCCCTTTCCAAAAGTCGTTTTCAAGTCAGCTGTACCCATATTTGTTTGCCAGGACAATCTCCGCCCAGTATGGGTCCCGAGATAATAACTCTTGAACTTCTCACATACCCACAAAATTTCTGCTGGAAGGTTGCACGTGGCACTTGGCTGAGTAGGCCAGGAACCTGTTGTGAGGACCTGAACAGCTAGTGTTGGGCTATCACCTAACTGAGGTCCAACGGCTGAGTAGAATACATGCATTGTATCCTGAGAGGTCTTCATATCAGTGAACATACCCTCCAATTTAGAAGTGAATTGATATCCACACTCTGTTTTGAGCTTAACAATAAGACTTCTTTCTGCATCATCAGAAACAGTTTTCCCAGAAAGAAGCCTCTTTGCCAAGTGTTGCTTGTAATACTTTTCAAACACATCTTTCTCTTGAAGGTAACGGAAAAGCATCATGACCTTGTCCAGTACAACTTCTACATCCTCCTCACTGACCCCTCTTAATCCTTTCCGAAGCTTGTCATCCACAAACAGAGAAATGAATTCAGGGGACCTGGCATTCAAATTAATGAAGTATTCAAAAGAAGAATTTAGAGCATTCTGGAATGTCTTGTCATTGTTAAATGCCAAATTGATAACTTTGTCATATTTGTCCTTCAAATCCAGGAGACGCTGCACGAAATCTACAGGATCCCTTAATCTTTCTGGGTCAGTAACTAGCTGTTTGCCAGTATCTCGGATGTAAGCAGTCATGACATCTCTGACTATCACAAGTCCGTTCTGCACCCTGCGAAACAAGCTATACATTCTCCCCAAGTCATCATATTTGTCATCCACAAGCATATTAACTAAACCTGAGCTCTCCATATGAACTAGTCTGTTCATGTGACTTTCAATCATCTCCTTTTCCACCACATTTGTTATCTTAGCTTCACTTCTAGCGTCCAAGTAATGGGACACTCTCTCCATTTCTTCCATTAAGCGTCTCTCAGCCTTCTTTAAATAGTTCCCACAGTCACATGACTCTATGAACTCTTGAGACTCACAACGGTAAAAATCCGCTGAAACCTCAAGAAAATGCTTCTCAAAGTCGTCTTGGTAAACAGAATAACCCAAATCCATTAACATTTTTATAATATTCCTCATCAAGCCTCTGTTAATTACTTCGCCACTCCTTTCTCTATGCACAAGCTCAAGAAGTGTATCCAAAAGCCTAGCCTGGGTTTTGCTAGAGTGAACTACAACATCCCTCCACAGGTTCAACCCAAGCTCATGAACGGGGGTTTTGTGGGTGCTTGGGATAAAAGTCCTGTCCATGTACATCAATATGTCTCGAATCATCTGCAATGCCTTGTTATGATCTGCCCATTTCCTGTTCAGCTCTTCCAAAAACAACTCTCCCTGAGCAGCTTCAATTGATTTAGATATTTCTTTTAGATGATAAGTCATGGTTGTCACCAGACCAGAGTACAGTTTCTCTCCAAATTTGTGCAGCACCATATTGTAGGCATTCCTGAATGTATGCAAATATTCTTAAACATCAGAAGCATAAAGTTTCAAGAAGTGAAAGAAACAGTGGTTAAAAAGTAAGATTCAAATGCTCTTGCAAGTTATCTTGCACTGATGAGATATAACCAACTGAAAATGTTACTTATTCAAACTTTTTCTACCCACTTTTTTCCACCAACCTACGTGACCCAAAGTATGCACACAACATCAAAGCATGCACCCAAAGTACGCACAGGATCATTCGAAAATCATGAAATACAAAACCCTTTGTGTCAACAAGAAACAGAAAGGAAAAACAGAAAAATGATAGGGAACTCACCCAAGTCAAAAAAAGGGAGCAAAATTAAAGTGCAGAAAGTAAAATGCGTGACAGATAACCATCAAATGAACAAGAAGGAAATAGAAGAGAGAATAGTAACATTCTCAAGCATGAATGAGCACAAATTGTAGAATAGAACAGATATCCTTGACCCCTCATGATCAATTGCAAAGATATCCTAGAAACCTTGTGATCAACTTTAAAGAATCGATATCCTAGAAACCTCATAATTGAACTTTGGAACCAAATATGCCTACACTCTCCAAGATATTCCAACTCTTTAGGCAGCCTAGAACCATGCACTTTCCTACCATAACCACCCACACTAAGCTCTCACCCTACCAATATGCAAGAAGACCATAAGGCCATCAGTTAGACTTTAATCAACATATAATCTGAAAAATGGATCAGCGAAAATAAAACAGATGAAAAAGCAATTTTGCACCAGGAAAGTAACTTAAGAGTAAGGGGATCAGACTGAAACGAGTTACTCAAAAGAGAGCCATCAAAACCTAATAATGCTCAGAACTAAAGTTATCCAACCATTTCCAACAGACCCAAACAAAAAGTGACCTTCGAATCAGTATCATCAATACTTCAATACCCAAAAAAAGATCATACATACATATGCTAGGTGTAAGCAAAAGTCACAAACCTATAAAGCTCTTCGAAGCTAAGCCCGCTAGCATTGTGATTGTAAATTTCGTGAATCGCATGTTCCAGGATCTTCCAGGTCTTCTCAGCGTACTTGGGATCAACCACGACCCGATGCTTAAAGGCCTCAATTTGGAAGTTCCTCTTCTTCTGAGCACTCATTTCTCAAATTTAACTTATCGCAGGCCCTAAATACTCGATAAAACCGATCCTCAGTTTGAATCGAGCCTGAAAGAAGCTTCGCAAACCCTCAATCCAAAACCAAAAAACCCGATTGAGATTGAATGGTTTGGGTTCGGTGAGAAAACCCTAGCGGTTGACCCGAATTTAGAATACGATCGAACAAAATTAGAGCATGAGAAAAGGGTTTTGGAGTCCAAGTGGGTTTGAGATGAAGAAATATAATAAAATTAGGGTTTGGGAATGAAAAGGGGGATGAATCAGTGGAAATAAAGGGGAAATTGGGGATGATGATACTGGAGAGGAAAGGAGAGAGAGATAAGAGAGAGAAAATGACGAAGGCTGTATTAAAATATTATTGCACTTCTAAGAAGTTGTTTCATTATTTCATCTTCTTTCTTTTTCTTCAGTACAACAACTCTTTTCTCGTCTTTAGGTCTCTTTCGATTTGAAAGCAAGCACACTGAGAAAGAGAGAGAGAGAGAAAGACCATTCAACCCCCACTTCCCCTTCAGTCTAACCTTGCAAATGGATGGGCTCTTTTGAGAATCCAACTGAAGTAACGTATATATGTGGGTCGCCGCCGCTCCCTCACCTCATCTCCCTCTTAAAACAACTATTTATTCTTTTACTTTTGTAAACGTATATTTTCCATTTGGATTTTTAGTTTACTTTTTGGTTTACATCACCATCACAAGAAAACACTGCTACCATTTAATTAATGGGTGCATTTTTGCTCACCACTTTAATCATAGGTGTACCCTCACCATCATCCTCAATGCTTGACACGTGTTCATAGACATAATCATGATTCCATAAATACAAAGCAAAAGTTAACTATGGTTATATCTATGGACACGTGTCAAGCATTGAGGATAGTGGTTAGGGTACACCTATAGTTAAAGTGGTGAGCAAAAATGCTCCATTTAATTAATACACAAATTCTACCTAATTTCTGTGCAAGACACGAAGAAAATAATGAGAATAATGAGTAGAGAGAACACGAAGAAAAACACGAGTAGAGAAGTAGAGCTTTCCCAATGGAGACAAAAGATGAGATAGCTTATATTAGGGAATTCATGGCTAAATATGAAGAAGATTGTTTTATCATGAAGTCTTTTTTCCATTCAAAAAGAGTTGGAGTCTATTCTAATATTATCGTTAGTCACTCCCAAAGTAACATCATTGTCACTTAAAATTTTAATTGCCCAAGCCCAACTGCAACCCAAAGTCTCAACCCTTCTTTTGTCATGTCTTTAACCTTTTTTATGAGGCATTTTATCAAGCAGTTTGATTTCATTTAACAAAATTGAGTGGAGGCAAGTTTCACTCGCACCTTTAATTGATCCGCCCATGCAAACCCCCACCGTAAGAAAATAATTGATAATTAAACATTTCGAGAAACATGATTGTGATTTTGATAACAAAGAGAATATGTATATCAATAATATATTTTTTTTCCCAAAAAAAAAAAACTATATCAATAATATTTTAGTGGTAATATATAGATGAGATAGTAGCATTTCACCACCCTTATATATGCATCCCTACAAATGATAACATTCCAATTATCTTGGCAAGAAAAATATAATTAGTACCTAAAACTAAATCACAGATCAAATAATTTATTTATTTATAAATTTTTAAGAATTAGTATTTAGAAACCTTTTTTTGAAATTATTCACAATGATTAAATATTCTTGTAGGTGGCTGGACTCTGTTGGACCCAAAGTCCAGAAGAGGCATCCGGCCCAACATTAATTGGTTATGTTTGAACAACTTGGGCAAAGTCCAATCAAACTACATCGAAGCCCAGCTTAAACAGAGTGGCAAAATTGTCATTTCGGCCGTGTGACTAGGGTTTAGCCATTTTAGGGTTTGCATATAAAGCAAAACATTGTCCCATTTGTTACGCCCTCTCTTCTCACTGCTCGGCAGCTCTCTCTCTCTACGATCTTTTCTGGATCTGACCTAAGGCTAACCAGCCATGGTGCACGTTAGCTTCTACCGCAACTGTAAGGCTCTCACTTCTCTCTGCATCTCATATGTATGCACCAATTAGGGTTTTGAACGAGATGTTTAGCTGTGTTTGTAATTTGATTACTTTCTCTGCGAAGGATTTGAGTTGATTCAATTTGTTTTTGCAATCGAAAACTGTTTTGATCGTTGCCTTTTGATTTTGCCCAGTTGAGTTTCCCATTGTTTTAAAATTACCATTAAACTTTTGCTTTCGACCAAAAGAGTATATTTCAATTCGTCGCAGCTTCTCCAGTTTCTTGAGCCTCTTAAATAAATTATGTTGGAGTTATTTATGCTAGATCTGATTCACAGTTTTGTTATCGACCACTGACTGTGAAGCTTTGTCTATTGGAAGAGTAAAAAGCCTAAAATCAGTGTATATGCAATGTCTTATGTGGGTGCTTAAAAGTATACTGTCTTTAATGATGAAATGAATTTTGGTGAAATTTGTTTGTTAATCTGCCTAGTGATCATCCATTCCCGTGTTGTTTCCTATAATCTGATAATCGGTATATGTTTTGAGTATAAAAAAGAAAGTTGCAGATTATGACTTTGTTCTTGCCAATATTTATTATTCATGAGTGATTTAAAGTGTTTATATTATAATGGGTGATATCAGACGGGAAGACATTCAAGAAGCCACGACGTCCTTATGAGAAGGAGCGTCTGGATGCTGAGTTGAAACTTGTTGGAGAATATGGGCTTCGATGCAAGAGGGAGTTGTGGAGAGTTCAGTATGCTTTGAGCCGTATCCGAAATGCTGCTAGGGACCTTCTTACCCTGGATGAGAAAAGTCCTCGCCGTATCTTTGAGGGTGAGGCCCTTCTTCGCAGGATGAACAGGTATGGGCTTCTGGAAGAGACCCAAAACAAGCTCGATTATGTTTTGGCTTTGACTGTGGAGAACTTTTTGGAGCGTCGGCTTCAAACCCTTGTGTTCAAGACTGGTATGGCTAAGTCCATCCACCACGCTAGGGTGCTTATAAGGCAAAGGCACATCAGGTATAAACTTCATTTTCCGGGAAAGCTTTTGTAATCTTCTCATTTTGTGTGTTTCTGGTTTTGTTCTCTATATAGAGAAGCAGCTGTTAACTGGGATGATAAAGTGACTGACTGTACTGAATGACCTGTTTTTTTGGTTCCTAATGATGCCTTAATGTGTTATGAATGACTAACAATTATTCTTCTATCGGTAGAGGAGTGCATTGTATTGATCACATGTACTTTTTGAAATAGAATAGTACATTTGAATATTTCTTGGGAGCATAAACTCTTGTTGCGATTTCCAATCTGACATGTGTAGAAACTGCTGGATGTTGGCTGCATGAGGCTAATTGAGGACCGTGTCTTACCAACCACACTATCTTGAGTAGCTTGTAGATTGATGTTTTTTTTACACTTATCTACGTTATTGTCTGTGTGATTATTTGCGTTAACTTTGTCTGCTGTTGTTGGGGCATGTTCGATGACTATGTTCTTGTTTGTTGAACCCAGCGATGTATTCTGTGTAATAAGTTTAATGTGGAAGCTGGTGGTGTTTGTTGTTTAATTCACTTTTTTCATTTCCAGGGTTGGCAGGCAGGTTGTCAACATCCCATCATTCATGGTGAGGGTTGACTCCCAGAAGCACATTGACTTCTCAATCACAAGTCCCCTTGGAGGTGGGCGCCCCGGAAGAGTGAAGAGAAGGAACCAGAAGGCAGCTGCCAAGAAGGCTGCAGGTGGTGGTGATGGAGACGAAGAAGATGAAGAGTGAAGTGGATGAGACTTCAATTTAGATCGTGTTTCTATTTTATGCGCCATTTATTTTATCGTTAGTTTCGTTTTCTGACTTTACAGTCTATTGTAGTGGATGGTGCTAAACGTTTCCTGTTCTTGTTTTGTTATGCTTAGAACTCAAATGTTTTGCTTTTAATACCTTAGTAATGAATTTTGTGGTGGTAACTTGAGAGATTTTTAAGTCGTGTTGGTTTTCATCTAATGTCGTGGTCTATTTTTAATTGCTTAATATCCCCTTCTCAAATATTGTTGCCTTCATATTGATGGAGTCCATGCAGCCTTTTAAAATCAATTAGGATCTCGGTTTGTTGTCATCAGAAAATCGACTTAGGTAAGGCTACATTCCACGTGTCTGCTATCTAATCCGGTCTTCCTCATGCAATTACAAGTGCAAGTCATCTTCACCACGTTTTCTATTTAAATATTATGTTAAGAGCTCTAGTGGGTTAAGTCCGTCTATCAGGTAGTGAGTTGGTCTTCCCCTGTTAGACAATATGACAAGAAAAGAGGAGCTTTAAAATCTTAGTGTCCGCATGCAGATTGCAGACGTGGAAGCTTTTAAATTTGACTCGACCCTCTTCAAATTCCATGCCACTTGTCCCAGAAATCCCCATCCAAGCCTAACACTTGGCTATAGATAAACCAAGTGCCACATGGACAACCACTTTACGCAATCAGAACAAGAATACAAGAAGAACAAAAACTAAATCAGATCCCAATTGAGGATAGCGACATATCCAATATCGTTCATACAACAAATAACCCCCTCCGGACTTGATTAAATTTAGTGATTAATCATCCTAATTCTAGTGACGTGGCAAGCACCCAGTAAAGGGCAAGGGAAACCAAGTTTCCAAATCGATTTCCTTACAAAACGGGAAATGCCTCGTCCTCCTCATACAGATGATGATGACTACTCTAAAAGAGGCCGTTAGAGCGGTCTCCAAGTCGGAGTTTATACTGACCACGTGATACCCTCATTTCTCTCCCCCCATTCTTTCCACGTGTCGCCCCCTCATAAGTTTCCCTCCTTCACGTAACCAGTCCCCGCTCGCAATAAAAACTCAGATCCCCAACCAGAGCTCTCGCCACTGCCCAAACCGCACCGTATTGCTCTAACCAAATCCAAACATGATGACACTGCGCCCAAACCAGAAGGAGAACGACGACCATCGGGAGATCATGGAGGAGGTTCAGCGGAGCTTGCTTTTCGTGTCGAAGCCCAAGGCGTGTACGGAGCAGGAGGAGATGGAGCAGGACAGCGGGGGATCGTCTGAGGAGATGGAGTCGCCGAGGTCGGTTGGGCGATGGAGGCGGAGGGCGAAGAGGGCGAGTTGTGTGCATAGCCAGATCTTGAGAATTAGGGAGGAGGACGCGCATCTCGGTGAGAGTACTAGTTTCGGCGCCAAAGATCATCATCACAAGGTTGCTCATGCCGTGGCTTCCGGCATGGACGTTATGCTCTTCGCCCGGCCCATCTTGCCTTGCTCGCCCCTCAAGAACTCCGTCAACGCTTTCCACTAAAAGCTCCCTATATTGTTCAGGTATTCTCCTTCTTTCGAGAAAGTGACTGATTAATTTATTTTGTTTGTTGCGGAGAATTCTTGATGATTTCGTTTTTCTTGTCAATCAAAGAAAATTGTTCTTGAATTTTTAATCGTATTGGGATTTCCATTTTGGAAAATACATGATTCAAAGGACCTTTTCAATCTGATCAAAGGACGGTAGGAGTTTCTTTTTAGATGAAACTTGGATGTGAGCTTAAGAATTTCCAACTTGTTTTCAGTGCAAGAAATTCCTCCAATCGTACTTGTTTTTTCCTTGTATTTTCTCAGCATCCAAACGACCTTTTCAAACTTTACTGTTTATATCTCAATTTCTTTGACTTTCTTTTTCAATATTCTCTTTCCCTCCATTTGTCTCTAATATTCGCGCGAAAGTTTAATCACCTCTTTTCTTCCTTCCTCCTTTTGAAAGAGAATTTTAACTGGAACTTTCCACCACTGAAGTTTTTGAATGGGTGATGATTTTGATCGTTGGGCTGTCAAAGATATAGGCTTAGCCCAGATTTTTATTTGGACCTTAATGGGCTTTAAGCAAACGTTTTGTTTCCCAGTTTATATCTCAATGGGCTTTCTTGTTTCACTTTAGGAAGAAGCAGAGACCGAGCAGCAATGAAGATGAAATCCCAAGAAGACGAACGAAGAAGAGTTCAGAGAATTGAGTTCCATCTTTCTTGACTTCTGTTCTTGGTTGTTTTTTTTTTGTGTGTACCCTTTTCTGGTAGAGTTAAGTGTAGTCGTTTGATCTACAAACGTTGCTGTACAGTTAACAAAATACATGAGATGATGATGATGTGAGAAAATCATGTCGCCCCTTTCCCGGGAAACAAACAGACAAACTCACTCCAAAATGCTTGCAAACATGGCAAATAAAAGAAATCATCCATCAATTAAACCTAAATTCAAATCAATTACAGAATACAGGCTAGCTGATTGTAAAAGTTGCAACAGACCAATAAGTCCATTGGCAAGCAAAACCCAACAACAGCTTTGAAGATAAAAAGAAAATTAACTATCTAATTCTAATACTCGTCATTTTCATCATCTTCACCTTCAGCAGACTCAAGCCCAACTTCCTCATAATCCTTCTCAAGAGCAGCCAAGTCCTCCCTGGCCTCCGAAAATTCCCCTTCCTCCATTCCCTCCCCAACATACCAATGCACAAACGCCCGCTTCGCGTACATCAAATCGAACTTGTGATCGATCCTCGAAAACACCTCAGCCACACTGGTAGAGTTGGAAATCATGCAAACAGCTCTCTGCACCTTGGCCAAGTCTCCACCAGGAACAACAGTAGGAGGCTGGTAGTTGATGCCACACTTGAACCCAGTTGGGCACCAGTCCACAAACTGGATGGTCCTCTTGGTCTTGATTGTGGCCACAGCAGCATTCACATCCTTTGGAACCACATCTCCTCTGTACATCAAGCAGCAGGCCATGTATTTCCCATGTCTTGGGTCACATTTCGCCATCATAGAAGCCGGCTCGAAGGCGCTGTTGGTGATTTCCGCCACGGAGAGTTGCTCATGGTAGGCCTTCTCGGCTGAGATGACCGGTGCATAAGAGGAGAGCATGAAATGGATTCTTGGGTAGGGAACCAAATTGGTCTGGAACTCTGTCACATCCACATTGAGAGCCCCATCAAAACGCAGAGAAGCAGTGAGTGAGGAAATAACCTGCACCAACAAAACCCAAATTCCTCAATCTCATTTGCAAGAAACTCATAATAAAAAATATCAAACAATTTCAGTTTTGATACCTGAGAAACAAGCCTGTTCAGGTTGGTGTAAGTGGGTCTCTCAATGTCGAGCGATCTACGGCAGATATCGTAGATGGCTTCGTTGTCGAGAAGGACAGCCACATCGGTGTGCTCCAAGAGCGAGTGAGTGGACAAGACGCTGTTATAAGGCTCGACAACAGAGGTTGAGACCTGAGGAGATGGGTAAACTGTGAACCCAAGCTTTGATTTTTTGCCATAATCTACAGAGAGCCTTTCCAAGAGGAGAGAACCAAGACCAGACCCAGTCCCGCCTCCAACAGCGTGAAACACCAGAAACCCTTGAAGCCCAGTACAGTTATCCGCAAGCTTCCTGATTCGGTCAAGGCAGAGATCCACAATCTCCTTCCCAACTGTTCAAATGACAAATGGGCACCATAATTTGTCAAATTTTCATACATTAATTTAGAAGCATTGAAATTGAAAAATTGAAAATGGGGTTTGGTTGAAGATTGTTACTTGTGTAGTGGCCTCTGGCGAAGTTGTTCGCAGCGTCTTCTTTGCCACTGATGAGTTGCTCTGGGTGGAACAGTTGACGGTAAGTTCCGGTCCTCACCTCATCAATGACGGTGGGCTCAAGGTCAAGGAACACGGCGCGGGGAACGTGCTTTCCGGCCCCGGTTTCACTGAAGAAAGTGTTGAAGGCATCGTCTCCGCCGCCCACAGTTTTGTCACTTGGCATTTGGCCATCAGGCTGCAAACAAAAAGAAGCCCCAAAATTTAATTAAGACAAGGAGATGAACAAACCCAGAAAAGCAAGGGAGGTTGAAAAGAGAAAAAAGACGGACCTGAATGCCGTGTTCAAGGCAGTAGAGCTCCCAGCAGGCGTTACCCACTTGGATCCCAGCCTGACCAATGTGGATTGAAATGCACTCTCTCATTTTCGCTCTGGTTTTGGTTTCTTGTTTGTGAGAAAAGGAAGGACCCTAAGACGTATACAAAGACGTCTGGGCTGAACAGAGCAAGTGTTGCAGAGAATGAGAGGGAGTCTGAATTTTGAGAATTTGAAATGCGAAAGGGAAAGTGGGTTGAGAATATATAACGCCAATAATGCCAAGGAATTCTGGTGTTTTTCAAATTTCGAAAAGAAAAAAAAAAAAAAACAGATTGGTGGGTTCCAGCTACATGTGACCGTTGGTTCTCATCAGTTGGGTTTGAATTTGAAATTTGAATTCTGAAGCGCCAGGATCAACTAGCTCTATTGGACTTGGGCTTACTACCTATTAAAGCTTTCAACTTTCAACATCAAGTCTCTTGGTCTATTTTGGGTTTTGGGTTTGGGCTCAGCTTGTGATGGATTTGGAATTTTCTTTACAAGCAGTAAATGATTTCCATGGTTTCATTTCATCGTGTTTATACTGTATAATTTCTGGTAATATGTTGATCCAATCGGTACCAGTACTCGAACCTAAGACCTCCTGATGTTTAATATTTAAGAAATCGGCATTTATACTGTAATTTGGTTGAGAATTTGCACATTTTAATCTTTAATATTTTAAAGAATGCAATCCAAATCCCATAGCATGAGATTTCATCCTCACTAGGCTAATTGTAGCTTGCTCTTTCTTGGATTCTCTCTCCTAAAAACCAGAGACTGAAATGGGCTTCAACTGAGATACACATGACAGAGAGCATCATTAAGAAGATGGAAATTTTAAAAAATGTAATGTAATGTATAGCCCTCCCTCCTAGGCTTAGCCTGTATTTACTTTGCGGCCTAATGACCATTCATCACCACCACAACTAATAATCATTAAGACTTTGTGAAAAGTAAGTAACATTATTGGATTCCATTGATTCATTCTCTCTTTTGTTATTGGGTCCATTAAGAGCTATGATGCACATGCTTTGTTTACTCCCTTAACAGTTTGTGTATGTACTTTACAGGCATCCTGGAGCATAAACCATGCTCACAAACTTTACAGAAAGTTTTTGAGCCCATGCTTCTGTTCTTCTGTTTCCAGCTGTGAGTGTACAACTACAAATACAACACTTGGAAAATATACCACAATCGAAATAATGGGTGCCTAAAGTAGAAGACTAATGACATGTTTACTTACGAGGTATCCGTACCCTAGAAATCAATCTAATTCTTAATTGTTCAAGTATTCGATTACGGATTTTAACGTGAATACCGTTTCCATCTTGGTTTGGTTAATAACTCTATTTGGTCCACTGCATTTATTTGATTTTCTATTTCCCCCAAGAAGAAAGTAGAGGGAAGGGATAGTGCATTTTTCTATACCAGAACTTCCAAACAGATAGAGAGGGTTTGGACTGTGGGATTGACTTGTCAGTCTCATGAGTCTTGACCAGTCCTTATCTCTAAAAATTGCCTAATTTTTATTTTGTGTTTGAATCAATATTCGCAGTTGAACAAATAGAGTTAGAATAAGTAAGATTGTGAAAGTTAAGGGTCCCCAGAGTGTGGGTGCAGAGCAGATGAGATTTTGGCTGTGCAGGCAGGAGGATTGGCTTAATGGACCACTTCACTCTTTTTTCCCATGATTTTCAGGAACTCATTTGGCTATTAAAAATCTTCATCAACAACAGTCTGTCTGTATTTCTTCCTCTGCTTTCATGATTTAACATAAAGCTGTCTTTAAACAATAATGATTCAATAAACAATTCAACGGCTCATGTAAATTCAAACCCATTTTTAATTTCTCAGAAAACAAATCTCTGTTCATGTAATGTTTAACCATGTTCAATACTTAATGACAGCACAGACTCCAAAATGTGGTCCAGCTTAGACTCTTGCCTCCAGATTGTGGTCCTTAATCACTCTCTTCCTAGCAGCTTCAACTTTTGCATGCTGCCCAGGATATTTAAATTGAATAAAAAGCAGCCGAATATTACTCGGGACATTTTTTATTGTGAAGGACAATAATATACTAAACTCATACACACTACACTACACGGATACTAAGATTCGAACCAAGGAACTAACAACTACCCTAGTGTATCCTTTTAATATGCTAGAGAGAAGTGTTTAATATAAGCTAAACCCTAAATTTTAGAAGCATATCACATGCTTTATATACTAAGTTAGTGTTAGCAAAACATAAACTAGGACAAGAGTAGTTCACCAAAACGGATCTAATGTCCCCAAAAGGAGCTACAATGCGACCAAAGCCACTTCAACTCCTAGCAAATGAATCCTTTCGGCTTAGAAACACTTGGGGCAATGTTTTAGTTTTATATGGCTGCTTCCAACGCATTAGCCAAACCTTTGTTAGACCCATTGGGGGCTCAAAGGTGTACAAAGTACACTTGTGTACTGTTGAATGAAATGACTAATTTGATCAAAACTTTTTGAAGCCCACCCAGTTTTTTTTTTTCTATCTCTGAACTTTGATTTAAATTGAGAGCTTGGCTAATTAGATTGTTGGATATGTCGGTCTTCTGAAGGATGGCAGATCATGTAATTTGTTAATATGAATAGGATGGTCTTCAGGACAATTAATTAAGCATTGTCCCTTTGTGATACTTGTTTCTACTATAATATGATTAAGGTTGATGAATATGTTTCATAATTTGTATTGTAACTTGTGATTTGTCATCACTTGTTGGGTCAAGATCCTAGATTTCAGTTTGAGTAACAATAACTAGTGCTAGTGGTGTGTTAGGTTAAGGAGTTCTATCCAACCGTCCAATGTTGAGGGGTTCATTGATAAGATGGCTATCTCATTATAACATCTCACACGTTACATATTAGACCGAACCATATTTTTAGAAATGAGAATATGTGTTGGGCTCGTTAAATGAATTGATAGACCCGGGCCAAATTGTAGCGTGAATTTAGGGTTGACACAAAAAGGAAAAAGAGGATAATTGCATCTAAGATGTGACTTTAGGCATATCAAATGCACCAAATGTGACACTGATATTACAGATGATACTACTTTGGGGTAATGGACAATGGAGATTTGTTAAAAGAAGAAGCTGATGGTTCATCACTCACTCATAGCACCAAAAGTTTCACACTTTGATCATTTGGAGTCTTGGATTTGCCACCTCACCCACTCCTAACGTGGCAACTATCCCATTGTTCCTTACTGCAGCAGACAAAATATATTTAGCTTTACTTATTTATTTATACAGACCGCCAATTTAATCATGATTTTCAGAGGCCAAAATGATAATAGAATGCACAGAAAATGGGTCCATATTAATAATCTGTAATCTTTAACTTTAACAAATTATATCAGGGGGTGCTTTTTCCTTTTTTTGAGCATTCATAACTGGCTGCACATTACCATTCAAGGCCATGTCTCCAATTTGCTTTTCTGCAATGCATCTTCTCTTACGCAAGTTTTCTTTCTTCATTTTTTTGGATGAACCCACAAACAAATTGCAAGATCAAGTTAATTAGATTTTCCTAATTTCTTTTTAAGACTGGATTGGAATATTATCTATTCCAGCGAATGTTCTTAGATTTCATACTCTTATGAGAAGGGGAAAAAAATCTAGTAATTGAAAGGGACTATTTGAACATGAAGGGAGGATTGTATGGACGTCTAAAGCATAGAAAAGGACGGCAAAGAGACACATGCAGTGTCAGTCAAAAGGGTGCTTCTACGAATATGGAATAATAAACTTATTTATTTGCATACCATTGTAAATTTCATACAAAAACATGGAGAAAAAAAGTATTTTCCTGCATCTTAAATCTATGATATTATAATTAATTTGACCAGAATTCCTTCTCTAATTGATCCAAAATGTCCTTTTGATAATAGTTTTCTTAGATAATGAGTAGAAAAAATTGTGTGAAACAGAAATTACACTGTTTTGTTGAGAGTATTTGTCCCGCATTGAAAAGTTAAGGGACTTAGCCTGGGTTTATAAGGAGTTGTGCTACTCCCCCCATTGCCAATTGCCTTTGGGGTGGAACCTCAACTTCCTTCATGATATCAGAGCAAGGCTTCACGTGTTGGGACCAATGGCCACACGTGCTCCCACGCTACCCAATATGTTTTGTCCACGTGTTAGGCTTGAAAGTTTTGCCACACATGCGTGGGTGTGTTGAGAGTATTTGTCCCACATTAAAAAATTAAGAGACATATCGTAATTGAAAAGAATAGCAAAACAATATTTCTCCTCAAAATAGACTGAGGTAGCAAAGAAAGTTTGACGAGCTACTGCTTAAGATACATTGCAAATGCCAAATATCTGTCAATTTTTTTGATTGAAACAACTCATGTTTAGCACGATTCTTATTTTCTTTTGACATTTTGAAGAAAAAAAAATATTGAAAAGTCTTAGATTAGAAAATGCATATTAAAAAATTATACATTTATTGTAGCAAGAAACGAGGCAACCCCAAGTTTCCAAGTAAGAGAGTAGGACACACAGTGCAACACTGTTAACCAGATTCCTCATCTTAACCTGGATCACCATCAAATACAGTAATTTCAAAACCGCAGTTAAATCCCACATATTCTTATACTATATAACAACACCACCTATACACCTCTCTTTCTTCAAACTCATTTTCTCCACCGTCCTTTGACCATTGGTCCAACCAACCTACACTCCCTCTCTCTCTCTCTCTCTCTCACTGCTTTTCATTTTCTTTCCGGCAAACGAAGCTGTGTGGAGAGAGTCTCGGGCTGATCAACCAGAACAAAACGACATTGACAGTTCTTGAAGACAGAAAAGAGAGAAAACAAAAAAGGGTTCTTTAGATCTCTCATCTTAAATGTCCAGTTGACACTTCATAAGCTCTGCTCATATCTCTTCTTTAATTAAAGGCAATGAACCACCACTCACTTTAAAAGCTCGGTTCTTTGAGTCACTCTGCTCTGCCTTTTATCCTATCCCATTGGAAACCAAGCTGAGCTACAATGGCGGAGACCACAGAGGCAAAGACATTGCCCGAGGCAGATAAGAAGAAGGAGCAAAGCCTTCCCTTTTACCAGCTCTTCTCTTTCGCTGACAAGTACGATTGGCTTCTCATGATCTCCGGGAGCATAGGAGCAATCATTCATGGCTCGTCCATGCCTGTCTTCTTCCTCTTGTTCGGTGAAAT